CGTTGCGGAGATTCGAACCGCCAACCTTTTGATCGGCAAGTCCTAGGCTTTGTGGTTTAACCACAGCGTCACCCCTGTCCCCTTTAGCTTTTCTAAAAAAATACAGATTCCTTTAACTACCTCTTGCAGCATAGAACAAAGACTTCTGCCTTAAATATTATTAAGCAACAGTATGTGAGCATATTGTATGGATACTTATTGCAACAAAAGTACTAGTTTTCAGGGGAACATAAATGACATTATGAGTCTACTGACAGAATTATATGTTGTTTTTACTATCAGAATTGATGCTACTCTACTGGCTACCATATTATTGGGGGCGTTTCTAACATTTAAATTGTCCTAATGTTGTACTTGATCTATTAACTGAACTTTCATAGCATCACAATTTTTACTTGCTGCACAAGAGCCCGATGCCCTAGGCAAGTGCTTGTTCCCTTCCACTAGGGCCTATTTGCTCAGCTCTTATTAATCCACCAGCTGAGGAAACAGCCTTCAGAGGTTTCTCTATTTGCTAAGGAATGTTATGCCACTGTCACATACGTGAAGGATTTTCAACAGCAAGACTACACCGAAATATAATTGCCCTACATTATGCTGCTTTGCTCTGCCTACTTGGAATCAAAAAGGGTGGACTAGACTCAGAACACACCCAAGTCACACCCACATCTTGGAAAACATCTCCAGAACAAGGAAGCATTTTGCACAATAATTCCTCTCGCAAGCAGACTATGGACTAACTTGTTGCTCTGCCACACCTACTGCCAGTTTACAAAGCAGTGAAGAAGGCTCATCACACATTCTCTCCCACTTCTCACTCTGCCCCCTAACCACAACACAGCTGGGTCACAACCGTGCCAATTTTTTATTGGTGCAGCATCTAATGATACTGCTACAATTAAAATGCATCTTGTATCTTTAAACATGGTTTCAGTAAGCTGGAAACCCTAAAAAGCAGAAGCACGAGGGCCAAATTGTGCATCTGGCAACCCAGTAAGTTAACATTTGTTAGAGACATTTATGCTTATGACAGAGTCATATACAATGCTTTTAAAAACATTATCAAACTTCTTTATTAGAGTCTATGCTCTTATTTTAAAAAGGTAAGTAAAGTTGTATTTTTAACCCAGTTAGATTGACTGTTAGCTTCGCAGGTTGTACAACCTGAAAAAGTTATGTTATTTGCAGATTTGCCTCCTTGGGGAGGGTCAGCCCCTCCATGCATGCATGGGGAATAGTGAGACTTAGGATAGGCTTAAGCTGGTATGGGCAACTAGAAACAGAAAGACTACAAAAGTCTTTCTGCAACATAAGCATGAGGAGACATTTAGGTAAAGGTAAAGCTACCCCTGCCCGTACGGGCCAGTCTTGACAGACTCTAGGGTTGTGCGCCCATCTCACTCAAGAGGCCGGGGGCCAGCGCTGTCTGAAGACACTTCCGGGTCACGTGGCCAGCGTGACATCGCTGCTCTGGCGAGCCAGAGCCACACACGGAAACGCCGTTTACCTTCCTGCTAGTAAGCGGTCCCTATTTATCTACTTGCACCCGGGGGTGCTTTCGAACTGCTAGGTTGGCAGGCGCTGGGACCGAACAACGGGAGCGCACCCCGCCGCGGGGATTCGAACCGTCGACCTTTCGATCGGCAAGCCCTAGGTGCTGAGGCTTTTACCCACAGCGCCACCCGCATCCCGAGGAGACATTTACTCTGGAGCATTTAAAATTATAGGGATGAATTATAGGGAGTGAGATGAGCGCACAACCCTAGAGTCTGGCAAGACTGGCCCGTACGGGCAGGGGTACCTTTACCTTATTTAGAATTATACTGCTACAAAACAAGATTTCCTGTGGCAGAAAGATTACACACTATGGGCATAAAACAAGAGTGGCAGGAGAGGACCTGCTGTGTGTACACATTGTTATTTCATAGTACTCAAGATGTGAAAGCAGCATCTTGGAACAGATACCTGCACAGCCTAAAACAAAGTGCTTTCAAGAAAGAGCACCTAAGACAGATCACACCACAGAAAAAGAGGATAGCAACCTACCTGTCTAGGTGTGGCAGCGCCTTTGCCTACTGAAGGTGGCTTCCTGTTCCTGTTCATTTCTCTTTGTTCTGTTCTCAGTCAGTGCAAGACAGCATCAGGCCAGATGGAGCTGGATATTTTAATGGGATCAGTCAGAAGTTGTCCCTGTTTCCCTCATCCCAGTTATCCGCATTATCTCCCTCTTCTGCTGATGGTTGCCCAGCCCCCACTTCTTTTCCAAAGTGCTTCCGGAAAACCGCAAGTGTGTTCCATTAATATTGCACACGACATGTGATATGTGACACTAAGTCATGAAATATGTGCCACCATACCTCCTCTGTTTTTCTCTTCTGTCTGGTGCCATGCAGCCCAATCCTATGTGTGCTTACTTGCAAACAAATCCTGAAGCTCATTGCAGTGCCAACACTAATCACATACATTGGTTCCATTGAATTCAGTACGGCTGAAATCACTGGGAATAAGCCTCAATAGGATTTACTGCCAAGCTAATGCACATAACATCAGGCTACTAAGCCCACTGCCACTGCTTTCCAGTACGTATCTTATTCGCCTCAAATGCCTACACTACTATGCCTGTCTTATCTGTCTGCCCACATCACTCCTAGCCAGCCACAGTTTTATTATTTGTTTGTTTGATTGACTGATTTATATACCACCCTTCATCCAAGGATCAAAGGGCGGTTTACAGAATAAAAACACAAACAACATAACAAACACAACACTAACCCCACATACTTTCCCTCCCCTTCTTTCACTCTTAGGAGAAAGCCTCACCATCCCTGCCATTAATCTTAACAATGTCTAGAATGAATACGTATACAGTGGTACCTTGGTTTATGAACTTAATCTGTTCTGGAAGTCCGTTCTTAAACCAAAGTGTTCTTCACATGCTTTCCCATAGCAGAAGGACTCAATTTACAAATGGAACACACTCAACAGGAAGCGAAACATGTTCTTATTCCAAGGCAAAGTTCACAAACCAAAACACCTACTTCCGGGTTTGCAGTGTTCTTAATCCAAGTTGTTCAAAAACTAAGCTGTTCTTAAACCAAGGTACCACTGTAGTACTTTTGAGTCTGTTTTTTAAAAAATATGCTTTCGAGTCTTCAAAACAATTCAAAATGCAATAAGTTGATACGATTACAACAGTATCGTAATCCCACTGAAGGTGGAAGACAGTGGCTTGCTTAAGGAGAGATTTTTAATGAGAGCACTCCATAAAACTCATCGGGGGTGGCGGGGGGGATGTTGGACAATGTGTTCCATGGGACTTATTCTCGGTTAAAAAAATAACTACCAAACTTTTAGAAGACATCTAAAGGCAGCCCTGTTTAGGGAAGCTTTTAATGTTTAATAGGTTGCTGTATTTTAGTGTTTTGTTGGAAGCCAGATCGGCGGGGTATAAGTAATAAATAAATAAATAATAATAATAATAATAATAATAATAATAATAATTAACATGCACAGGGTGACAGCCAAAATTATAAATCTGGACATTATTGTTATCATTCTATACTTATTCATTTTTACCCCACCTTTTCCCCTGACCAGGGTCTCAAGGCGGCTTGCAGGTAAAACATCACCGGTTCATGTTTCTCCCGCCGCTTCTCTTCCTAAAAACAATAATGCTGGCCTACCTTACGGGACTGTTGTGAGGATAACCGGGCCGCGCATGCGAAGGGACTTGGAAGGCTGCGCCGCTAACCAGAGCCGCTGCCCGGCTCTTCGCCCTTCGCCCCTCGAAGCTCCTCCGCCCCCAAAACCGCACGCAAAAGTTGGGATCCAGCCCTTCTCGCTCCAGCCACACGCACTTCCGGCTTCTTTCCGCGACTAGCCCGTCAACCCCCGACTTGCTTTACGGCTCCGTCGCGAGCACGACACCGCGCGACGGCGCCCGTCGGGCTTTACGGCAGGCTTTTCCCTTCCCAGTCCGCAGACAGAGAGCGCGGAGGGAAGAGCAGCGACGTCAGTTGAAGCCTGGCAGGCCAAAATTTGGAACAAAAGGCAGAACCTTGTGCCTCCCCAACCCCAATGCACGCCGTATTTTACTGCATTTAGTTAGTTACTTTTTTTAATAAATAAAAAAAGCACAGCATTGCTTCGCAAATGCTTCCTGCACTGGGCGGAGGAAAACAAACAACCTAAGAACAAAATTTAAAAAATCCTCCCAGTAGCACATTAGAGACCAGCTAAGTTTGTTATTGGTATGAGCTTTCGTGGGCATGCACACTAATGCAGATGCCCTAAGAACGTAAGAGGAGTCCGGCTGCTGGATCGGGCCCACCTAGTTATTACAATGGCCAAACAGATGCCGAGCATATAATATTATAAGGAGAGCCCGGCTGCTGGATCAGGCCAAAGGGGCTCAGCATCAAGCCCAGGATCCTGTCCCCACAGTGAGCAGAACCTGAGGGCGAAAGGCACCAGCCATTCTCCCGTTCTTGATTCCCAGTAACTGGCAGCCGGAGGCATCGCTGCCTCCTTTTTATCGCACTCCGGTTGGAAATCGGAGCGGGGAGGCCGGCCGAGAGACGTTGCAGCCGCGCTGCATAGCCTGGCATAGTTCAGATATGTTGCAGCTGGGCAGGCTGAGGCTGAAGGATAGTTCCTTTCACCAAACCTGCACTTTTGGCCACGCGTCACTTTTTCTCCATATAGCAGGCGGTAAGGCGGAGAAGGAGAGCAGTTTGCAACGAACACTGAAAGATACAGCGACAGGATAAACTTGCTCTTAGCTGCTTGCGGTTGTCTGTGTGTTTTGCCACCCTTGGAAAAGGGTCCCCGAATAACACCAGAAGCCAAGAGGTGTTCGTTCTACACTTTTTCCTAGCTCTAGGAAAACCGATGGTGGGGGCGAGGGCGGGGCGGGGGGGGGAGGAGAATTGGCGGGAAAAGTCGTTAGGGAGTTGCCTCCCTTCGCTTTTTCTGCTGCTCAAAAAGCAGGTGCTCCTTGGAGTTCCTCTCTTGGCGCGCTTTTGTATTTAGTTGTATTTCCCCCCTCATGACTTTTGTTTTATGGATACAGCAAACATCGACAGCACAAAGCAATAACGTTACTGCTGGTTACATAATTTTTTTCCATTTTTGAATGCTTCAGCCCCCTTGGCTTAATATTTTCCCTCCAGCTAAGCAACTTAGGGGCCATCAACGTTGCATATCATAGGACCCAACTCCTAGGGGCTCCCCAAAATAAAATATTTGATAGAGCCGGGCCCCCACAAAGTTGATAGGCATTCCCATTCAAATAGTGTGTGTGCACTGCATCCATGTGATTGATTATGCAGGGCAGGGATTAAAACCCAACATCTCAGTCTGGATCTGATTCTCCCCATCATATTAATATTTTTTAAACAGCTGTATCATTGCTGGTTATGTTTTCTGCTTTGTGTTCACAGAATTATTATTTTTTGGGAGAAGGGGGCAAGGTCTTTCACTTGAAGTTAAAGGTCGACTTGTGACTGAATCTCCTGCACTATTTATTACATGGTGTTGAAGAGAAGCAATGCGGCTTTGCTCTGCATGGGATTAAACGTCTTAGAAATGATTTCTGACAAATAGCTTTAATTGTCCATTTAATGATAACGCAGTAAGATACTGTTGAGATGTAGAGTTCGCTGAACCAAGAGTAATGCAGACAGCCCTGTATTCACGGTGGGGCAAATGGGTGCTTGGCCCATGCCTCAATTTTTTTAGTTTAAGATCTTCTAATTTGTGACTTGATGGACAGTGAGGGCCTCCATGCAAAGAATAACAGGAGCGATTTCAGAACAATTAGCAAATAAGACACAGTGAGTGCATAACAAAAGCCTCATCTGGAAGAGCCCCCAAAATTTGCTAACTCAATACTTTCCTCTGACAGGGCGAGTTTTTGATTATCACAGCCAGCTTATAATTACTAAGGGATTCTGAAAAAAACAGCTTGTATGGTAACGTGACTCTTGAAGAGTTAAACTTTCACATACTAGAGTTTAGTATGCATGAAAATGTCTCAAAACAGCATATGATTAACTTTGGCTGTAAAAACACCATGATATAATGTCTAATAATGCAATATATGTTATTTTAATAGAAAACATTGACCTAAACTGATATTTCCCTTTAGATCTACCAAGCCACTAAAATGAGTAAAAGGAAGAAGGGACAAATTCCAGGTAATAGAATCACACTTATTTTTTGTCTTTATATAAGACTTCCCCCTCCTCCAATTTTTTCAAGCCATTTCCATATTGTGGTGCTTCAAGACCAGGGCTTAGTGTCACTAGCAGATTGTGCAGATCTGATTTTCTGTGTACACAAATAGCACATGACAATTAACACACTCAGTTCTGTGTATTCTGGCTCCTCCCCCCAGCCACTACTTCCCTGCCCTCAACTGCCTTTTTTGTTCTGTGCAGATGCTCAGGTGTGCAAATCACTCCCCACCCCCAAAATGCTGATCTGTACTTGGCCTAAATTTATCCTCAATTTGTGGATGTGCACAGAAGTGTCATGGTCTCAGTTCAATAATACATAGATGATGAGGTAGATTGTTGCTTATGAAAAGTTTGCAAGCTTACCTGGGAGTAAGCCAGTGTAACTATTTGCATATCAATTCCAAATCTGTCACATTGACTTGGAACCTAAGCTAACTTAATGAAGTTCATGGGAGAAATGTTTCTAGAACCCGCTTCCCCCCTGAGTAAGCATGTCTAGGTTTGCAGTGTACGGTAAGTCATGAGAGCATGTGCTTCAATAAATTAAGCAGATCCACTTAAATTAAGTACATTTAAACCTTGTTATTCAGTAGCAGACTTAAAGCATGTGCATTGAAATAAATGCCTATTGAAATCAACAGGATTTAAAAGTGTTCGCCTTTAGGTGATTAATGTATTTTATTATAAAGTCAGTATTAATTGCTGTATTTATTTTGCATAAAGGTTGATTAATATTTTTTCCCCAAATAAAAGAAGAGAACAAGGAACATGGCATATCCAAAGCAAACAAGTGCCTTAGGAGGAAGCTTACAGAAGGGAATGATCCAGAAATGCCAGTACAGAATTTTCATTCTGACAATTCTTCCACAAAAGTAATTGTATCAGGAACAATTCAAGAATGTCAAAGAAATAGCCTAGCAAACATGAACACAGAAAATTTAGTAGCAGACCTGGATACAAGGTAATCAAGTTTGATTCAAACAGAGTATGAAATGACTGAAACATGGTTGGACTGGACAGAGAAATCAAGGGGTAGCAATTGATAAGAGAAAGACAACTGAGACTGCTCATACGATTAAATTGTGATTGTTCTAAAGTAAGGCTTCTGGACAAAAGTTTTATTAAGCATGCGAATTCACATGGTCAGATTATAATGATGCAACTAGAGCGATTGCACCAGGACCCATTCCTGCAAAGAGCTTCAGATTCTGTACTCTCAGTGTGTAAAACAGTAAGTCTCTAACTGTCATGGAAGTAAAGTTATAAAGCAAAATGTGCAGGCAACTTTCTAAGTGATTTATGTGAGATGAGTCAGCCTGGCTGCTCCCACTTTTCAATGTTTTTAGCCCCTAGTTGTGTACTTTGCCCCGGGATGCGAGTGGAAGTTGTGCACCGGTGGCGCGGCAGCAGCGGGAGGCCCCATTAGTGAAAGCGCACCTCATGTTAAGAACGGTTTCGGCTTAAGAACGGACCTCCACAATGAATTAAGTTCGTAACCGGAGGTACCACTGTAATGTAAACCTTTTTGATCGCCAACAAAAATATCACAAAATACTGAACAAACTTTCAAGCTGCCCTGCATGTTTAGATTTCAGGTAAGATTTCAGTTTTAAAAAATAATGGAGGAGACTAATGTCCATTTAATAAGCGCCCAGCAAAGTCTCTTCATTAGAAGATCTAATGCCATCTTCCTTCAAGTTCTAGGATCCCTTTCTTTGACAAAGTCCCCATTATATTTTTGCAAAGAAGCTGGTAAAACCTTTAAAGCCCTATACGGCCTAGGACCCTCGTACCTATGGGACCGCCTCAACCAGAGCCAGGGCTTTTTCGGCTGTGGCTCCGATCTGGTGGAACGCTCTGCCACAAGAGATTAGGGCCCTGCGGGACTTGACATCTTTCCGCAGGGCCTGCAAAACAGAGCTGTTCCGCCAAGCCTTTGGCCAGGGCACAGCCTGACTCTCTCCTTTGGCAATCTTCACAGAACTCTACCCAATGGTTGCCATCAATTTGATTTGAAGTAATTTTTTAATGAAATGATTTTAAAATGTTGTCTTATTTTATTGTTGTTAGCCGCCCTGAGCCAGGCTTCGGCTGGGGAGGGCGGGATATAAATACTATTATTATTATTATTATTATTATTATTATTATTATTATTATTATTATATTTGTTGTCTTTTAACAGCAAGGCTTCATTTGAGAGGAAAGAGCAAGATAATATGAAGGTTTTTGTACCTCTGTCTCAGGTAAATTCCGTCTCAAGTAACATTAGCAGTATATTTAACTGTAGAGTAGCTTTTAGTAATTTATTGGTTAGGTAAAGTAAACTTACAAAGTATAGCTGAATAGATTTCCTTTGTGTTCCTTATGTGGACATACTGCTTGATCAAATCCAAATCCTTGCAGTCTCTATGTCATAAATCTCGCAAGAGAGGACATCAGATGTGACTAATATGCAGCAAGATTTACCTGGTAGATATTTGGGTAATTGACTGACACCTTTCATCTATCTTAAGCATTGTATCAGGCAGTTTGTTAAGGCTACAAGGGAATAAACCCCATTGAACCCAATAGCCTTACTTCTTTGGTTTGCTCTGTGCATAGGTTTGCTCTGTGTAAAGAGGATGATTCACTAAACCTCCTTACACATTCTTTCAATGTGATGTCACAGGATTGCAGTGGCTAGCTTCTACCAACTTACCAGTTGGGCATTCAACAGCCAGAAGAAGTGACCACAAACATACACAGATATATACACCTATTGCTCCTCCATGCATATATTTCTACGCGTGTGTAGACCCTTCAGCCTCCTTATGTATTGAAAGACTGTATGAGACAGTCCAAATGGACTTTCCCCCTCATAAGATCTTCAAAATATGTGAGCTAATCCACATGGCTGCAATGCAAGAATCTGTGAGTTTGTTTGATCATGTGTTGTTGTTTTGGCCAATAGCCAATAACATTTCACCTTTCAAAATGTTTACTGGCAGTGATTATATTGCATACTTCTGTTTGTCATGGCTGAAACACCTAGGAACATGAACTTAAAAGCTTTTTTAAAAATCCAAGGAAGAGTTGCTGTGATTAGGGAAAAGGGCAAGGCTCTTCCACATTCTCTGCTTCTACAGTGTATCAACCTACCAGTGCTGGAACAAGTACCATGGTGGCAGTGAGCGAAATGAAATTCACTCTCTTTAGTCACAGAAAATAATTTGTACAGATGGCGAACATTTTGTGTGCGACCTATTGATGTATAGCTAGGCCCGCATCAGGATTTGAAAAGTTGCTTAGAATTTCAAACAATGAGAAGTACAATGCAAACCCAAACCACCAGTGGGCACTCAAAGCCAGAGAGAAATGAAACCAGGGCAACAAGCCAAGATGCTTTTGCTTGCACAGCTGGCTCAGTCCTGACCTAAATACATCTTCAGCAATGGTCTGTCTAGCTTTTTCTTGAAAACTGTTATAGCCAGAAGCCAGAAGAGCAGCCTGTGTCGTTCCGCACAACCTTCCTTTGAATTCATAAACTTTATTGCTGCGTGCAGATTAAGACCAAGGGTTGCCCCTTGTACATTTTCCCCTAGTGGAGTTGTAGAGCACATATTCTGAGAACAGAAGGCCCCAGGTTTGTACCCCAGCATCTCTAGTTAAAAACGTTGAGTAGTCATGAGTGAAGATGTCAAAGACCTCTGCCCTGGATAGCAACTTCCAGCCAGAGTAGACAATACTGACCTGGTATTAAGAAACGCCCTGAACTCCTAACGCCACCCCACCTCTTTATTGGGCCAAAGAGAACCCAGGAGTCCTGGCTCCTGGCCACCAGTTACCTGCCTCAAAAAAACCACTCAGTTTACTCCCTTGCAGAGAACATTAAGTTAAGCACTCCCTTTGGGCAACAGCCTCCTTCCTTCCTTCCCTTTATATTAAATGTTTGCAGAGCCATAGCTGTGGGGGGGTAGCTGGGTTTTCTGCCCTGGGTGAAGCCTCCAGAGGGGCTGCATTAAGGCTCAAAACCTGTGTGTGTGTGTGTGTGCGCGCGCACGCGCACGCACAAATGCATGTGGGGGGACGCCAAACTGGGTCTTTGACCCACGTGAAATAAAACCAAGTTTTACCCCTGATATATGTGTTTATATTTTAAACAGTTAGTTTGGCTGTGGTGGCTGCAGCAGGGAGGTGGAGAGGAATCCCCCTGCTAGGAAAGTTCTGAGACAAAGGGAACTTGGACTGCCAGCAACTGGGCAATCACATGCAGGATGAGTCCTGCCATGCTCGGCTCCAAGAGGCACTGCTGCTTCACTGTAGTGGGTCTCCGGAAGACAGAGTTTTTTTGTTGAAATGTGGACACAAAGATGTAGGACCACTTAGGGCCAGCCCAAGACATCTTGATGCCCAGGGTGGGAAAAGGAAATTGGCACCTGCTAATTAAACCAGGGTATAACCCACCAGGTATAGCTGTTAACTAAGCGGCCCCTCAGGTGCCTGGGCACCCACAAATTTAAAATGGAGATGTGCCCCCCCCAAGATTCCAATTGGTGGTGTGTACACACCATGGTGATGTTGGCATGCCCTGGGCACCCACTGTTGTAGGGGCAAGGTGGCACGCCTGCCACCAGGAAGTCACCTGCTGAAGCCCAGCTGGGGGAAAATGAGACACCCCCCCCCCCCGATCTTTTCATTGGGAGAAGTGCAAGATTGCCAAAGGTATTTTGCTGCCTGAGGCCAAGGTCAAGATGGTGACTCTTTACTTTCCATTAGGTGCTAAAATCTCTACATGTAAATTTGGATCATTTTTCTTTTCTTTTTTCAGTGCAGGATTTTTTTTTTAATGTGGGGCATACTTGTGAACTTATTATATTTGCATTTTAATAATTATAGTAAATTACTGTTGTTCTTTCACTTTTGTGGAATTATTTGTTGCTCACAACATCTTCTAGTTGACAGTAAAATAAACTTGAACTTCTGGTGCTTCTCCTTTTGAGTGAAACTACTACCAATACTTGTTCAGTAATTCTAATAATTTGAATCTTAAGTTCCTCTGAATGGAACCCCACTTGCAGATACGATACTTCCATGGAGTACCTTGAAGATACTATTTGACAATTCCCTCCTGCAGCCCTCTGTGCTCTTAAAATCTGCTCTGGAGGGTTGGGAATCCTCCCAGGGCAGCAAGGAAGGTGACACTGGGAGCTGCAAGGGGAGCAAGAAATCAGTGAAAATTGTTTTCTGCTGGTGGGAACCTCTGTTGGATCACAATGCCTTTCAGGATCCATCTGATGAGGTTTTGTCCAATTTTATTCCTGTGCAAAATCCTCAGAAATTTAGGGCAGTCTCAGTAGGTCAAAAATAATTTTCTTTGTTGAGCCTGATAAATCTAATCTCTTGATGCCTTTTTGCTTAATTTTGGAAGTTGCTGAGGAAGAGTATAGGATACTCTTATTGTTATTCTTATTCTTACTCTTATTGTTGATCGTAGGGAGGAAAGCTGGTACCAAAGTTTACGAAGCCAAGAAAAACATTGGCTGAAAAACATGGAAATTTTGGAGGCGCTGTAACAACTGGGACAGAAAACGTACAGCAAGCCCTTCCTTCTTATCTATATAACGTAATGTATATACCCTTGTGATTTAGAGAAGTGTTTCCTTATGGCTAGACGTGGGGAAAACACTTTCGTTTTTGTACTGATAATTAAAGACAAACTGCACTCTTCTAGTTCAAATTAAGCACACTGATAATTTCCAGAGGGCTTTTAATGATTAGTTTTAATCAAGATATACTGACATGTTATTTAAGGATACTGTTAGCTGTGCTGTTTTATTTGTATATACTGTACTGTGGTTTTTTATATTTGATTTAAATAATAATTCTAAATGACATTCCCTAAGAGACAGATCATAAATAAATAAATAAATAGTTTTAACTGAGTTAAATCAGAAATCAAGCCTATATCGGGAGTAACTGGCAACACTCCCAGGCACCCAGCTTGGTCTCCTGTTGACCTCCCTGGCTGCATTCCCCAGCAAGATCCAGGCTAGGTCTCGATAGGCGATTCTTCCCAAACGTGGGAAGAACACCCCCCTCCCTCCTGCTCTCCCGGCAGGGAAAAGGAGATAGACAGAAACGTTTTACATGCTTTTCTTTCTGTCTTTTCAGATGGTTAAATACATAGAAATGCACTATTAAATGGGAACTGGTAGCCATAGTCAGAAAATGCTAAATGTTTGTGCTACTTTTTTCTACTGACACACAATTTTGTCAACTTCTTCAAAGGGTGATTGTATGGATAGAAATATTACCAGCACAGCAAAAAATTATGTCGAGAACACTGTTGCTTCTTCAGAGACACCAGAAGCAGCGGATTCATTGGTGACAAAAGTGAAGGATGCTGGAGATCAAGTGATCATTCATTGTGAAGAATTAAGTAAAAGTCTGGATGTTAAAATGCAAGATGAGGACAAGATTGGAAGGATAAACAATGGTGGTGCAAACTCAGGCTTAGCTGATTCATGTCAAGGAATAGGGACAGCATCCAATTTACAAGAAAGTATCTGTGAAAAGGAAGTGTCAGGTAATAAGGATGTAGATGGTTTGTCTCTAGAGCCATTTAAATGCCAATTCATTAAGGAGATGAGCATTAGTATGTTGTCAGAGGACAGTGTCACTGACCATATTAAAAGTACTCCACATGAAGAGCATCTTGATACTTCAAACAAGAGTATGGATAAAAATAAAGCTTTCCATGATATCACAGATTCAGATGATGTAAAAGAAGCAAACTGGACCAAAAATAGAAGTTGTAAAGATGCAAGTCTTATTGAGTGCATGTTCAGCCAAACCCAAAAGGAGAACAACAGAACATATTTCCCACTGGAGACAGGTCTATCATTTCTCACACCTGGAGAACAGGGCAAACATCTAAATACAAGCAATGTATCTAGAGACGGAGATACTGATGTCAAAAAAGCAGACCAGGACCTTCCATATAGAAGGGGGGAAACTGAAGAGCAAAATGTCATTTACAGCAGTACTGAAATTTCAGAACAAGTCACTTTGTGCAGCTCTGCAATGAGTGAAAAGGGGACAAACAAGCTGAACCTGTGGTCAAGTGGCAAACCTGTAGAGCAAAATGGTATGAGTAAAACTGCAAGCCAAAGCAACCCTTGTATGGAAGAGATCATAGTTGCAGAGGAAAACAGTGTACAAGGCCAGAATACTTCCAGGAAAGATGTTCTAGATATTCAATCTATGAGTACTTATTTGGAAAAGAAAGCAGATATTTCTGAATCAAAATGTGAACAGGTTTTTGAAACAAGTGATATGTTCTTGCCACAGCCTGATGGGGTTGTTCACCCTGAGAGCAGCACAATCTCAGTGCAAGCAGTGATTTGCAGCGAAGAGACGGGGAGGAATAAAAAAGAATCTGAAATGGAAGCAAGGTCAGCAAAAAGCACCACTGGCTCACCTGACCCAGAAGTTCCAGTTTTACAGACCCAGAGGAAAAATGGTAGTGAGAGATTGGTGTCTGATACAAAACAGTCTGAATTCAGCAGATGTGATTTGGAACCAGCTGAAATTAGGGAAGTGCTGTCAGGCATTTCCCAGCAAAATTTGACTGAGACTGCCAAGGCAGAAACAAACCCAGCAGAAAACTCTTCTGCTGACATCTATATGGGGGGAAAAGAAGAAATGGTAACCTGTAAGGACAACAAGAGCAAACCCGCCCATGAGGAAAATGGCCTCTCCACAGTCAAGGTTCTTCCAGCACCACTGGTGGTGGGCGATCCTGGTAGAGAAATGAATGCTGGTTCCGAAATGCAGAAGTCTCTCCTTGTATTAGGTACGGGTTGCAGCAGAAATGCACCAAGCGGCCTTGATACTATGACCCAAACATGCTCTCCTTGCACAGATTCCCTTTCTCTGGATATGGAAATTCTGTCTAACAGTCAGTTACTGGGCATCTTTGAATTTCCACCACACAAGGTGAGTTGACCATGAATGACTAGATTTAGAAAGTGATAGTTTTACTTCTTCATATGACAGTTACTATACAACAGAATCGATAAGACCTTAACATTCCAGTAATCCTTTTAAGATTGCATTTATAAATGCAAGTATCAGTGCCTATCATATGAATTTATGAAGGAATTGGCCTTGCACTACTACATACTTTTAGTTAATTAGTAGATTTATATCCCACTTCCTTGCCGGAGTCCTTAAAGCAGCTCATAACATTAACAAAAACCAGTGGATTCCAATTTTACTGTAGTTTGAATAATTTTGAATGGTGTTATAGTGCAAAATAATTGTAGCAAGTGAAGTGCATCCCAGTAAAAAGATTTGTGAACCAATTACAGTAGTATATAAAATGGTCATTTCCAGCTCTAACAAACCCATTGTAGCTAGTACTGATTCTGTGGATTAACTGCAGTGGAAGCAGAGGCTCCCATTCTAGTTCTTTAAAATAGTTTGTACTAGCCTTTGTGGCTCCTCTGGGCTGAAAAAGCTGGATAGAGCTGGGAGGGACTTTGGAAGTCATCTGGTCCAATGCTCTACTTAATGCAAGGTTCGCAATGGGGGATGCAACTATAGGAGCCCTGATTGATGGACATCCCACCTCTGCTTAAATACCTGCTGTGAAGGAGTGTCCCCCATCTTCCTAGTTATTCTGCTCTCCTGTCAACTAGCTCTTACTCTTAGGAGGTTTCTTCCAGTGTTATGCCAACATCTGTTTCCTTCTAATTTCTACGCATTCATTTTAGTTCTGTCTATGTTATGTCTTACAAGGATGTGGGAGGAAATTCTTCACTGTGTGCATAGAGCAGGTGCCGGCCTCTTGTTGTGGGGGAGGAAGGGAAAGGAGAATGTTAGCCGCTTTGAGACTCCTTAAAGGGAGTGAAAGGCGGGATATCAAATCCAAACTCTTCTTCTTCTTCTTGCTGAGGGAGGATGGGGATAGCGGCAGTAGCAGGGGGGGGGGGAGAAAAGGGGCTTGCCAGCAGAACACACTGTAGGTGAAGAATGGTGATCTGTCCCCTTGCCCTCCCCAAAGTAGCTCAGGTTTCAAACAATCTCTGCTCGTTTGCAAGAGGCTTCTCTTAAAATTATATCCATCACGTCTAGCCAAAATGAACAATAAAAATTATTTGCATAAAGTCTAAAAGCTAACTAGCAGATATATCTATGTAACAACATTCTGAAACCTCTGTGTCTAAGAACCCATTTATTTAATTATTAACATTATTGCTGTAGATTTTTCCCTACCTGGTTGAGATTGTGATTGAACAAGTCCTTCACTGGTGCTTTTTACATAGAGAATATACCTGTATCGCTAAACTGCATTTCTATCCCTTCAGACATCCTTTCTGGATAATCCACATAGCCCTTCCAAGGATAAAAGTGATCAGTGTGCTGTAGGAGAACAAAGTGGAATCAAAACACCAGTCCCAGCCATTAATCTGATCTATCCAAATAGTGACAGGTGGGTGGATTTCCTAGTAGGAGCTTTCTTGGTACTGTATTTTGCATTCCAGTTGCTATTACTAGGCCTACATATGTGGCTTTGCATGAGTGTGTACACACACCTGAAACACTAATGGAACTGGATGATTTTTATTTCCATCTCAAAAGCTTGGGGCAGGCAGTTTTAAGAAAAAGTGCAATAAAAATACATAATTAAAACCTATATTCTACATAAATACTTAATACGTCATTTGTTAGATGTGCTATTTGTAGGATGGGATTGGAATCCTAGGTCAAGGGGTCAGTGACTATTTGGAGCAAAGATAATATCCTTTGATGTCTGAAAAGGCATGACACCTGGAAAACACTCACACTTTTAATCTAGAAATATTGCTGAACTCCTGCTTCTGTTTTCCTTTTTTTTCCAAAAAACAGGAATGAGGTGACTGAGGGGATTTGTGATCCATACAAACAAGAAGATGCAACAGATGTTGTTTGTGGACTGATTAAAGAGCTCTCTAATCTCAAGTAAGAACTTATTTCTGTACCATATCCAATACTTCATAAAAAATGAGGTTCTTGAGGGCCTGAGATAATGTGGTCACTGCCATAGCATCTACGGCAATTACATAGCTCCCACAGGAATCCTAGTGTAACATTCTTAGCTTAAATGTGCCTGGTTTAAAGACAAAAAGACATGTTTGGCCTAGCAACCACTATTAGGCATGGTAGTTAAATTGAATGTTTTATAGCCCTGAATGCCAGATGCTGAGGACAAACACTGAGGGAAAGCTATTGCCTTTTATGCCTGTTTGTGATCTTCCTAGAGGCATCTGGCCCAGGACTGTTTTAAGGGTTTACTGAACTGAAAGTCCTATCACAATCAGTGGGATACGTGCCAGATCCCAACAACATCTACTGGGGTGTAAGTCCCACTGATTTCAGATAATTTTATTTTCACATGTGTTTAACCTTTGGGTTAAAATGGCTTTTAGGAATGCCTTAAAGATTTTTTAAATGCCAACATGGCTATGCAGCTGCTTCAAACATTTTGATTAGCCAGACATTTAAGGATTTTGTTTTGTGCTGTTTTTAATGATGTTTTGTGTTTTATCATTGTTTGCACTGCCTTGATTTGTTATAGTGGTATATAAATACTTTTATAAATAAATTTGAGTTTGACCAAACTGCGGGAGGTAGTGGAGGACAGAGGTGCCTGGCGTGCTCTGGTCCATGGGGTCACGAAGAGTCGGACACAACTAAACGACTAAACAACAACAAATAAATAAATAATAAATCAATCTCCCTCCCCTCCAGATCTGGACTCCCTCCCTGCCCACTCTGCTGTGCCCATTCTGCTGCTAACCCCCCTATGGCGATTGCACCAGAGTAATGACAGGGGTCAGATCTGCTGCCTGAGGCAAAATTCTTTGCCTCGGGCACCAGATTTGACTTGCTTTATTAAAGTGCCAGCCTTGCTGAGGGCTGACCAGAGGTTGCCTCTTGTGAGTGCTGCTAGGAGCCATAAGGCATTATCAGCCACAGCCACCCTGAGGAAGTAGGAGGTATTTCCCCCTCCCCAGTCACTTTTCCAGCCTGCTACAGCTCTTAGACTGAGGACTGGAGAACATGGCACATGAACCCTTTCAGCTACCTTGAATTATTTCAGCTCTTTAAATCAAATTCCTTGCATTTGTTCTGGAGCAAAAAATAATAATTGTTGGAACCTGCTTCTTTAGATAACAGTGACTGAATTGTTCTGCAGGGGGTTGCAGTCTATAATTTTATTTCTGCAGCTTACTTGAGAAGTGCCTTGCTAACATGGAACCCATTGTGGTGTGGTTGGGTTGTTTTGTTCTTCCTAGCCGACTTATCATGAGTACACACAGAGACCTGGATTCCTTCAAGAGACTGAAGTTCCGGAGAAACAGACAACCTGGGAAGCTTGTACCTCATAGCGTGAGCAATGTGACAAGCACACTTTGTACAGTCAAAAAGAAGAGAGAGATTTAGCAAGTGAATTCTGTTCCTGCTTTGAAAGTTTGCTTTGTTATGGTTTTCTTTAGCCGTTTCATTTAGCAGTGGGGTCATTTACGCTTATCTGCATTAAAATAGACTGTTAGATGCAGAATAAAATTAATAACATGAGTATAATTAGTCATCTTCACATCCCACTAACTACCACAGCAATGTAAAGGACCCTTATAAACAAGAACTGGGTCCAATGTCTTGGTGCACAATCCAGTAAGTAAAGTTACCCGTATATAAGCTGCGATCAGTATCCCCTTCACCACCATCTCTTAACAAACTCTTAACATTAACTTTCTGGGTGTGAACTCTTGTCCACAATTGTGAAGAGTTGTTCTATGTTCAGGCATGTATCTATAGTTCTTCCTCAATTAGGCCAAAATATATCTTCTGGAATGCAAAAATAAAAATAAAACCTTAAACTTAAAAGCCAGTTTTACTGTATAGAAACTACGTAATGATGCCATTATTTATAGGGTTCTGGTGTAACCATTTCATTGTTTATAAATGAACTAGGTTAGTAGAATGAAAATGCTGTATTTTGGCTAAAAACTACAAAGTTGCGTAACTTCAAGTGGAAGAGTTATGTGTGTACTTAGTTCAAACCAATAGAACTTAAAATGCTGTTTTTTCATTCTTGCCTACTTTATGGTGTCTTGTGTGTTTTGCATTCTACACAGGCAGAACAATTCTAAAATTGGGGAAGATTCTGTGGTGGTAGAATTGCTGCTTCCCAAGCCCTGCTGGTCACTCTAGCTAGGATGGAAGTGGGGTGGGATACAGCACTTTCTCACTTAAAAGAGGGCAATTAACTACACCAGCTGCAAGTCTGGTATAATTCTTTGCCCCTTTATCACAGTATGCTAAGACCCCTCATCTAAATCCCCTCAACTGCCACTCTCTAACTTCCTTGTCCAACAGTAAATCCTTACATAGCGATTCATTCGAAAAATGACACATCTTTGGTTTAGGGTTTTTAAAACGCTGTATTGCTTTTGTGTAACAAATAAATAACCACATAAAGTCATAATATTAACCAAACAAAGTAATTATTGACCATACATCTTAAGACCCAAATAAAACCTGGCCAACAAATATCACTTGAAAAACAAGCATGCATTTAAACAAAACTTTAAACAAATACAAACATTGGGAGACTTCAGACCGGTGATTTGGGAAATCAGATAACATTTGTCTCAAGTGGACACTCTTCACACTGAGTCAGACTTCTGTAATAACATGAATGTGAAATAATTCAAGCAGGAAGAGTAGCTGGATTAAAAAACAAGACTAGCGAGTGAGTAGATTGTGATAGTACTGAGAGAATTCATTTCCAGGCCCTTGGTGTGATGTACCAGTGCCACCTGAAGTAAATGTTGCCATCCTGGACTATTTTTCCCTCTCTCCTTTTTCTGTCAAGGTTCCTTCTGAATATTTCAGTTGATTCCTGCAGACCAACCACTTGGGGTATATTAGATCCAAAGTTTCCCTTGACTTCAAGAAAAGTGCTAGCTCTGGTACAGCTGCAAATGTACCTGAAAGAGATGATAAAATGCACACAATCCTAATCACATTTGCCTCACTAGAAATCTATGCAGCATTTTTTTTCTAGTTTGTATCCAGCTGTAATTGTAGGAATATCCCACCGCAGAGTCCTTTGAGGTTAAATACTGGAGAGCAGGCGTACCCCAGGAGCATGGCCAGTGGTGAGGGACAAGGGGAATTGTATTCCAACAACACTTGCACAGCTTCACATTGGCTACCCTTGGTGTAAGAGTAGCAAGGGCAGGCAATGGCTGCTTATCTACATTTTTTACTCATTTTAACCCAGGAACCTCCAGGTTTGAAAGCCACTTCAGGGTGGCAGGCTGCTGTGGCTTGCAAGAGAGAAACAAGCCACAGTTCCTAGTTCAGAAGTAACACAAAACCAACCCTTTTCTTGTCCTGCTTGCACTAGGAGTGAAGCAAGAGCAATTGGGAAATTGCTCAGGAAACCTTCCTCCCATATGGCAAATATGTCTCTGCCTCAGTCACACATAGACAAACACTTTCCTCCCAGACACACACACACACACACACACACACACACACGATCTGAGCACTCTCCCCCCCCCTTTCCAAGGGGCAGGGAAGGAAGGTTCAAATCCCCTCTGGGCCATGAAGCTCACTGGGTGATCACAACCCCTTCCTCTCTCTGCCTAACCTACCTCATAGGGTTGTTGTGGGGTTGCAATGAGTAAAGGGAGAAGTGTATGCTATCAAGCTCCTTGGAAGAAAACAGGAGAATATAAACGTAGCAAATACAATAATAATAAACTGTCAGGCACACAAACACATACGGGAAGTGTGAGCCAGGATGAAAAGTAACTCATTCGGCACCGGAATGTCGCTCAATCGCTCTTGGAGGACAAATAATAATAATAATAGTTATTCTTTATACATTGAATCCACCTTAGTCTTACTCAGACCCACTAAAGGTCACAAACAACTTAGCCCTGTTCATTTCAATGGGTTTACTCTGAGTAAAAGTTACTTGGATACAAAACGGTGACACTGATGCCCACAGGACTAAACCCACTCTCGCCTTCCAACTCCCCATCCGCCTCCTTTTCCTTCCCCAACCCCAGGGGGCCGCCTTCCTCCTAAACATCCAGACAAGGTCTGGCCATTTCGGATAGTGGGATTTCAAGAGTTTGCTTTTCAGATGCGCTTAACAGACAAAGGCGGCCTGGGGTGGTGGGGATAGGAAGAGGAAGAGTACTTACCACCAGGTTGGAACCTTTGCTGCTGAAAGAGAAAACGAGAGAGAGAGAGAGAATAATATTCCCCTTCCCACCTTCTTATTTTTTAAGTTTTAGGAAAGGCTGGCTTCGTTTTGAAGTTGCTTGCCTTCTTCCCGGCCGAATTCCGGACGCAGCTGTAGACGGACGTGTAGCCCTTGTTGGTTAAAGGGCAGAACTTCCTCGTGTGCGCCCGATCCTGAGATGCCCCGCACTGAGGGCAAGTGTAATTTCTCAGGATCGGGCACTGCACCCTCCCGGCCGAGTCCTTCAGCGCGTGCGACGCGTAGATGGCCCTCGACTCGCCGTTGTGCTTGCAGAAGGCGCAGTGGCGCGCCGGCCTGCTGACCCCGGCAGGGGGCGCCTCCTTGCGCGGCGGCGGCGGCGGCGCCTGGTCCGCGAAAGCCCCCGGCCAGCTGCTCCTCGCGCTCCGCCAGCGCATCTCTTGCACCACGCGAGCCAGCTGGAAATAGTCCCTCCACAATTGGAAAGCCGCCATGATCGCCGCAGCCTGAGCTGGTCGCCGGAGCCCTGGGCGCTCCTAAATGCAGCCATGGGCCGTTGTGGCCTCCGCCCAGAGCCAATAGCCTGGGAAGCTCTTCCCACTGCCCCCCCCACCGTCAAGGAGCCTGGAGCCAAGAAGTCTGGCTCGCCCCACGGCCCCCCACCCCGCCGCTTGTGGGTCGCCATCCTGGCAAAGTTAAGGGCGTGGCTGCGAAGCTGCAGAGAAGTGTCTCTCGCCGAATGTTAAACGATCTGCAAAGAAGACTATGAATTAAAAGTGGAGTCAAGAGATGTATGTAGCTTTCCCCGTCTCTCTGTTTGCTTTGTAACACAGATAAACGTAAGAAGAATTTAATGAATGGAGGGGGAGGAGAGAGAGAGAATCGCCAACTAAGAAGCGCTGCCTTTGGCTTCAAGAGTTGCTTCTTTATTGCAACTTGCAAAGTTGCAAGTTGGAAGTGTCTGTGCGACTCTCTCTCTCTCTCTCTCTCTCTCTCTCTCTCACACACACACACACAGTGCCGGATTTACGCATAAGCTAAACAAGCTCTAGCTTAGGGACTCACTTTCTTGGGCCCCCCCAAAAAAATTAAAGGAAAAAAACTGGATGTACTTTGATAAAATACATATTTTGTTCTGTACAAATGGCTTTAGGTCCATAAGTTAAAGGTAAAGGGACCCCTGACCATTAGGTCTAGTCGTGGCCAACTCTGGGGTTGCGGCGTTCATCTTGCTTTATGGGCCAAGGGAGCTGGCGTACAGCTTCTGGGTCATGTGGCCAGCACGACTAAGCAGCTTCTGGCGAACCAGAGCAGCGCACGGAAATGCCGTTTACCTTCCCGTCAGAGTGGTACCTATTTATCTATTTGCACTTTGACATGCTTTTGAACTGCTAGGTTGGCAGGAGCAGGGACCGAGCAATGGGAGCTCACCTTGTGGATTTGAACCGCCGACCTTCTGATCGGCAAGCCCACGGTTCTTCGGTTTAGACCACAGCGCCACCCTTGCATAGCTTGTAAAAATCATTTCTCCTGCACATTCCCCCTCTTACCTTAATACCACATGTCAATTTATTATTAATAGCTTCATCCTCTTTTTTTTAAGCCATCAAAATTGCTGGCTATGCCATGCTAACTGCTGGCGCTCAGTCGGGGTAATAAGCTGCCCTTTCAACAGCAAAGGAAAACACAGCAATGCACAGCTGCATTGCATTCAGGTCTGGTTGGTGGCAAAGCACAATAAAAGCACCCCCATTGGAAGGCGAATGGTTTGGCTCTGTGCCAGAAACTAAGCAGACTAGCAATTACCCTTTCTTTTCTTTTTTTTTGGTGCCACCATCAATATACTGTACATGAGGTTAGTTAGGTCCTGACCATTTTAGCTGCACTTTGTTATCATTGGCACCAACGGAGTTTAATTTAGTCCTTATTAAATTTCCAGACAATTAACTGGATTGAAGTTTGGATTCAACCTGTAGCATCTGAAAGGGTTTTAGAAGCAAATGAAATAAAATGAGGGCATAATTCATGATCCTGTCACTTAAGGAGCTTAAATGCAACAGCAGGGAAGAGATTGTGACAGGGTGGGGAGGGGGAAGCAAGGGGTTAATGTGAGCAGATGCAGTTGCAGGAACTTTTAAGGTTAACAATGTAAACTGACCTATCCTGTACACAGTACACTGTAAACTGTACTGTTCAAATATAATAATGGTGCAATGCATTTTTTAAATGTATACAATTACCATAATGGTGAGAATATTAATGTGGGGCACAAGCTAGCCAAAATTTAGCATTTTAAAAGTACACTTTATTGAAATACATAGAAGTGCCTTAATCAAGTGCTGAAAAGTTATGAGACCTCCTGCCTGAACCTAATCTGAGCTGAGTGGAATTAATTCCTTTTATTTATGTATGTATTCCTTATTTAAAATGTTGAATTATAACCAAAAAGGCAGACAAATTAACAAGGTGTGTGATCTTATATCTTGAATTATGCAGAACAGTGCAGCCCTGCTAATATCATGTATTTTGCATTATTTTGATTGGTACGGGTTGCAACAGCATGGAATTAATTATCCAGAGTGTGTGTTGGGTTGCAACCTTCACAAAGACTTACGTTTGACTGGATCCTGACCCTGTTTTTTCTGTGCAAGGAGCCTCAGATTTTAGTTTTAAGGCACAGCTAAAGTGGTGCTGTGGTCTTTTTTTTATATATATATAAAATATTTATTAAAGATTTTAAACATTTATAATCACCAAACACATATAAAACCATCACCAAGATACAATAAACCAAAAAAGGCACATAAAAGTGACACATAACAAAAAAAAAGAAGTTACACATAATACAAAAAACATACAATAACAAAATCAAGTAGTTCGTAACCATATTTTCTTTGTTTTTGGACTTTCTCGCATCTCTCGTTCCTGCGTTCCCAGTTTCTAAAGTTTTAAACAGCAAATTATCACCTTGTTTCAAATCTTATTTTGTGTTTTTCCAATATTATGTCTCTAACTTTAAATATCTTTGTCATAAACTTAAATACTTAATTTAGACATGATATTAATCCGAAATTTATCTTCTTCTCAAATTTCACTTATTCTCATATTCCCTTAAGCTTGTTTGCTGATGCCCTGTTATTCTCAATCCTGCATCCTTCTTAACACTCATACAATTTGCAATGTTTTTGTAAATAGTCCTTAAATTTCTTCCAATCCTCTTCAGTTGCTTCTTCTCCCAGATCGCGGATTCTGCCGGTCATTTCTGCCAGTTCCATATAGTCTATCAGTTGCGTCTGCCATTCTTCCAGCGTGGGCAAATCTTGAGTTTTCCAATGCTTAGCGATAAGTATCCTTGCTGCTGTTGTTGCATACATAAAAAATGTTCGGTCCTTCTTTAACACCCTCTGGCCAACAATGCCCAAAAGGAAGGCCTCTGGTTTCTAGTGGTGCTGTGGTCTAAACCACTGAACCTAGGGCTTACCGATCGAATCCCTGCGACGGGGTGAGCTCTCGTTTTTCGGTCCCAGCTCCTGCCAACCTAGCAGTTTGAAAGCACGCCAGTGCAAGTAGATAAATAGGTACCGCTCCGGTGGGAAGGTAAACGTCATTTCCGTGCACTGCTCTGGTTTCGTCAGAAGCGGCTTAGTCATGCTGGCGACATGACCTGGGAAAACTGTCTGCGGACAAACGTCGGGAGCGCCGCAGCCCCAGAGTAATTTGCGACTGGACTTAACTGTTAGGGGTCCTTTACCTTTACCTTAAAAAAAAGAGGGAGGGGGTTGTAGATTTTTGTACACTGAAAAACACCTTCAGATTTTCATCACCATTTTCTTGGCTCATGGAATGCCCTTCTTATGGGAATACTTTCACTAATTGTACAATGCTGAGTGAAGGAGAATGCCTGTTTCTTCTCTCCCACAGCAAGGGCAAGGAGCTTTTTCTACAGTGATTTTGCTAAAATGTAATGACGCTGGAATGCTAACACACCTCAGAACTGAGCAGGGGCATGAAAATGGTAATTTTCAAAAATACAGCCAGAATTTTCATTGGAGTGTTTATATTAAATTAACAATTGCTTTTTATTTTTTTCTGAATCTCTTGATATGTTGCTTTATAAAGGTAAAGGTACCCCTGCCCGTACGGGCCAGTCTTGACAGACTCTAGGGTTGTGCACCCATCTCACTCAAGAGGCCGGGGGCCAGCACTGTCCGGAGACACTTCCGGGTCACGTGGTCAGCGTGACAAGCTGCATCTGGCGAGCCAGAGCCGCACACGGAAACGCCGTTTACCTTCCCGCTAGTAAGCGGTCCCTATTTATCTACTTGCACCGGGGGGGGGGGGGGCTTTCGAACTGTTAGGTTGGCAGGCGCTGGGACCGAACAACAGGAGTGCACCCCACCGCGGGGATTCGAACTGCCGACCTTTCGATCGGCAAGCCCTAGGCGCTGAGGCTTTTACCCACAGCGCCACCCGCGTCCCTATGTTGCTTTATACTGTTCATTAATAAATGAGATTGGATTTTATTGTTTAATATTATAGATATGCAAATAACTGAGCAGAACCATTTGTAGGAGGGGGTGGAATTACAGGATTAAGGACATGTAAATTGCCTATACTTTAACACAGGACATTTGAGGCGGCTCAGGGAACACCACAAAGGAAAAAATGGGAGGGTTTTTTCGTTTTTTTTGTCTGTCTGTTTAAATGGAAAACTACCCCGAAGTGCCAAATCAGGAGACACTCAGAGGTCCATGGGCCAGGAGTTAGTCACCCTGCACTAAATGAATGGTCAATACACATTTATTTGTTTATTCAAACTACAATGTGGAGAACTTGGCCAATAACACTTTCAGCAAATACACTGAGAGGTGAGTGGTGGTGGCAGCAGGGGGGGAGCTCCTGTGTGAATAAACCTGGGGGTCTTATAGGAAATGTGCTAAAAACAGCAAATACAAGGAAATCAAGTGGGGAAATTGAATATCATGGTTCAGGAAAGCTTTTTACCAGGTTAACTGGGTTCAAATCCATTTGTGAAATGGAGCAGTGAAATGTATGAACCACAGAGACGGGTACTCTATTGGGGTATTCTGATTTTTATTCCCCCCCCCACTTGCCCCTTGCTTTGTGTAACATATTGCCCAGGGAAGAGCTCTGGCGAACCCAGAAGCTTTTTCAGCCGTGGGCCGGTCCACCGTCCCTCAGACCATGTGGTGAGCCGGACTATATTTTGAAAAACAAAAACGAACGAAATCCTATGCCCCACAAACAACCCAGAGATGCATTTTAAATAAAAGCACACATTCTACTCATGTAAAAACACGCCGATTCCTGGACTATCTGCGGGCTGGATTGAGAAGGCGATTGGGCCGCATCCGGCCCCCAGCCTTAGGTTGCCTACCCCATGTCTAGTCCTTCCCCTGCCCACCCCTCTAATATTCTTAAGGGGGTCTCTTCTCCTGTCTTCAGAGAGTAGCTGGAGGTGAGAAGGCAGAAAAAGGTTCTCCTTTCCTTCCACTCTGCAGTTTTAATCTGAAATATTAGGTGCAGTACTGCGCCCAGAGCTCAGAAACTGCTCGCGCTAATGAAATCCTTGTCGTGAAATGCACCTAGAACAATGGAAGTGTCAAACACTGCTTGCAATGCAAGAACCTTTTTGCCCGATGTGGGGCTCAAACCCATGATGCTGAGATTAATTGTCTCGTGTTCTACCGACTGAGCTTTCTGATGTATTAAAAAGGTAAAGGTACCCCTGCCCGTACGGGCCAGTCTTGACAGACTCTAGGGTTGTGCGCCCATCTCTATAGGCCGGGGGCCAGCGCTGTCCGGAGACACTTTCCGGGTCACATGGCCAGCGTGACAAGCTGCATCTGGCGAGCCAGCGCAGCACACGGAAACGCCGTTTATCTTCCCGCCAGTAAGCGGTCCCTATTTATCTACTTGCACCCAGGGGTGCTTTCGAACTGCTAGGCTGGCAGGCGCTGGGACCAAACGACAGGAGCGCACCCCGCCGC